TCTAGTAATCTATCCTGATGGCTGTGAGAATACCTTCCAGAACAGAAGTGGATACCAAGGGTATCAACTGAACAAACAAGGTGCCTACACTTTCAGGAGGCAATATCTCCAGAGTCATCCCAGGTTTGAGACAGAACTGCTACAGCCTTGTTTTACATGGTCAGTAAGAAACATCATACATCCATGATTGCAAATATGTCAACTGCTCTTCACAGGGATGCAAAGGGTGAATGTCCCAAAGTGTCAGTCTTTGGTCACTGATGACTGAATAATGTGTAAACTGCAGCAGTGGATCTTGCACAACTAAGGCTCCCATCCACAGCCTAACAAAGTTCCACAGAAATGGTCTTGTTTTTGCTAAGGTCTGTTAAGCTCTGCCTACTGTTCACAATTCTTTTCATTCATCTTTCACTGTTGACTACTGATAGATTTCCCAACAAAGAGTAAGACAACTTGTACCTACTTCACCATCAGAGCTTTCTTTACAGTCTCTCTTTCCTATTAAGGCCCTGATTTTTCATGCCCTTACCATTTAATTTGTGTGCAAAGGTACTGCACATTCAGAAAAGCATTTGCATCCAGGACACAGTAGGTGCATAGCTTCCAAGAGGCAGAAAACAGTCTAACTGACAGACACAAAAACAAAACAGGATTGAAAATACATAAACAGCAAAAGATTTGATGAACTCAGTCTTATCAAGAGGCCTTCATCAATTGATACAGATTTTCCTATTAAAAAATTGGACACTAAGTAGCTCTTTAAACAGGCAAATAGCCAGACCTGATAGCTGGAAGTTGAATAAAAACACTAGCCTAAAAATTAGATAATAATAGCAAAAACTTGGGGTAATTAATAACTGGAAAGTGCACAATGGACATACAAGTGTTGAGAGGGATTTACCCCAAAATATTAAATTAAGATTTTTTTTTTTCTAAATGGTAAGTCTCATCAAATCACTTCAAGTCCCTCAAGGTCCCTTCAAGTTTTACAATGCCCACAACTGTGCTGGAGAAATCTCCTTGTTCCTTCACAAATTTTAACTCTCCTTTTCAAATCAGTCAGGCTTCCAAAATCGACCCACTGTTAAACAAAGTACTAACTTTGGGGTGGGGGAGGGTAGTGAATGTGGCCCAAATAATAAGGAATAACAGCTCAGAAATACATAAATTGATTTAGACTTATCACTCTAAGCCTGAAAATAACCAGCTCCAGCAAAAAGAAAATAAAGAGGAGACTGATACACTTTTCATATTCTCAAGCTATTCATGAAGGAACTCACACAATTCCATTTTTTCCCCTTATGTTACCATCCCAGTGCTATATGGGCAAGACATTACACATTGGCCCCAGAGAAAGTCCAGTCCTTTGTTTTGTGACAGGCAGGGTTTTTGCTCTGTGTTCATGCTCTGCTGAGAACTCCATTATGGCACACATCCAGCTTGTAGCTGTCCTCTCTGTCTTCCCTTTGCTCCCATGTCAAACATCGCTCTTCTTTCATGATTTCTCAATCATCAAATAACAAAGATAATAAGTGTACTCCTAAGGAGTAACAAAGTGATCCTCGTGACATTCAAGAGTTAGGGAGCCAACAGAGAAAGTCCAATCCTTTGTTTTGTAACAGACAGGGTTTTTGCTCTGTGTTCATGCTCTGCTGAGAACTCCATTATGGCACACATCCAGCTTGTAGCTGTCCTCTCTGTCTTCCCTTTGCTCCCATGTCAAACATCGCTCTTCTTTCATGATTTCTCAATCATCAAATAACAAAGATAATAAGTGTACTCCTGAGGAGTAACAAAGTGATCCTCGTGACATTCAAGAGTTAGGGAGCCAAACCTCAAATTAGCTCTCAGTAGATCACGGAAGACTGACACAGGTTTATGATCTTCCCCCTACTTCTCTCTCTCATTTCACCCTATTAGTAGGCAGTAGAATAACAACAACAACAAAAAAATATTAAATATGTCTTCAATCCCTGTTTTGCCAGAGTAATGTAAGAAAGCAGGAAGTCATCACTTGCTTCGGTGTATAGTGGAGAGATACAGCAGTAGCTTTACATACAGGAGGAACTCACTACTCGTACTGCTGCAGCCACAGATAAGGTTTTTCTGTGACAGGGGCATCTGCTCCATCTGAAAGATTTTAACCTGAAGATCAAATAACTTCCTGTTTTAAAGTGCATGACACATCATGAGATATCCAGGAGCTACCATCTCTGTATCTGTATCTAATCTTCAGTAAAACTTGTTGGAGCAGATGCTGGAATAGCAGGGTAATTTACAGCTCACTGCTGCAGGAGCCACACAAGCATCTGGCCCAGGAACAAAATACCTCTGTTGATATTAAGAGAGCAATGTCTGAACACCTGAAGGTCTTCCCCACGGCTTCAAAACATGCACAATCCTTTGCCTATCTCAAAATGCTCCTTCTGCCTCCGATGGCAACTGTTCACACACCAGAGACACCCTACCTAACAAATATCTGCTGCAATGAACAAGGAAGCCGTCCCACGTTCAAGTAAATGGCTTTACTACACAAAAGTATCAGTATCTCCTGAGCTAAGCCGTTCACAATCATGTAACAATCTTGTGCTAATCTGACACCCGACCAGGCTTGCCAGCAGTAACTGCTTGCTTCTGTAAGGTTGTCACCTCCCATATGTGTCAATAGTACACATAATTTAATGGTTTTGCTACCGTAACTTAAGAAAGAACAGCAACTTACTAAAGGGTGAAGGAGAAGTAAGTCACAGCAGCTCTCCAACAAAAACAAGTATATAAAGACCTTGTGAATTAACACACGATCATCAGTGCTGACAATCCTAGACTACTGCCTACTGCTACCAGCCCTAAAGAATCGTCACGTCTCTATGAGAAAAATTTATGTCATTATTATCGGAGTTTGGGGATCTGGGGGGTGGGGGGAGGAGAAAGTGGGATATAGTTTTTAAGTGAAATTCAACTAAAAAAGAAGTATTTTGACATTTCTTTTAATAGTTCTGTTATTCCCCCAAATCCAGGAGGAGTAAGTATGTATATTTCCTACAATGCAAGATGACACATTTTTTTTCAAACAAACAAACCCAAGGAAGATATTTCTTTAGATTAAGCACACAGTGAAGAAAAAAGTTTTTACAGAAAGACATGCACTGTGAAAGAAGATTAGTTACCTTTTTTTTATTTTTCTTTTTTCTGCTTAAAGGGAAATATAGCTGTGCAAACACTGCATCTGCTAACCAGACAATACGTAACCCCACTGTTACTATAATAATTTTTTCATCTCCACTAGTTGGGCTCAAACCTGGACAAGAAAAAATAATCAACTGAGACTGCACAGGAATTATAATTCACAACATATATTTTAAGGATATCCTTATATGCTCTATTAGCATATGCTTGACTATCAAAGAATCCTTATCTGGTTAGGATGCTGAAATAATTCTATTAATATATATGACCTCTGAAACTAAAATAAATAGTATTAAAACATCCTAACAGTAAAATACAACCCAAATGATTAAACAAATTATTACTCCAGGAACATAAGGAAAGGCATTTGGCATTTTTAACATTCCAACTTTGACTATTACTCATATTTTAAATAAATTTATTCTTTAAAATACTAGGTATTATTTCAGATCAAATCTAATCACATGAGAAAAATGGCAGGTTGCCATGCACAAGAATTTCCCTTCTTATTTCCCACTATGTTATCAACACAGGCTGTTCTTTCTTGCTGCATTTTCTTGTGGTCTTTTACAAGCATCAACTCAAGAATTCAATTTCCCCCCATTATCGCATACTCATAAAAATGGAACTGACAGGGCAGCAGTTTATTTGTGCACAAACCAGAGCTGAATCACATAAACTGGCTTTCAGAAACCCACGGATCAATTGTTACTCTCTGGGAACGCTGCTTCGGCGGGCAGAGTTGAGGGAGTCTCATTTGGGAGAAGGGAGAAGTTGAAGAGTTGCAGAGGTACGGAATCCAGGAGTCTTCCAGTCTCCACATAAAGCTAATTAACGGACGCAAGGATATGCACAGTAGGAATGGCATCTCCTGCGTCTGTAACTATTTTTAAATGCACCTAAATTCTGACGAGGCTCAACATACAGACATTTAAGCTTATATGAATATTCATGTCTGAGTACTACACCAAATCTAAGTCACTGTGCAAAGACAAGCAAGGCTTAAAAAATGTTAAAAGTTGGGTCATTAGACTGACAACACCTACAGACATAGTCAGATGAAAATTAAGACAGGCTGTCCACGAAGAGCATATTACTGGCCCTCAGTCCAATTCTTCCACCAGTGACACGCTAAGCCCTTCAAGTTCCCCTTCCCCTATTATGATTTTAATTAGAAAACTATCTTAATACAACTTTGCAAACATCAAAAACCTTCCTTTGAATAGGGAAGCAGCTTCTGAAACCTTTCCTCGGTTTAGAGCACATGAAAAGAAACTAGGTACACCATGCCGCTTTCAGCGTCAAGTGAAAAACTTTACGTTCCCTAGTATTAGGAACAAGTAGCGTTAAACCCATTTACAGGTGAACTGAACAACAAAACAACCATTTTTTAAAATTAGTATAAAAATCCCATTTTCAGAGGCAAAACTCTCGGGGCACACTTCGGTATTGGTTTGTTACTGACAATAAGTTAAAACACTGCACCTCCTCTAAACTGAAAGAACACCTAGAATAAATTGTCACACGAGAGAGCAAAAAACCTGTGTCGTTACAGATTCTCTCCGCAAACTGCTTCTTTCCTGCGGCATCATCTGTTAAATCAGAAACTCCTTTGAACACCGCATCCTCGCTGACTCTTACGGTGCGCTGGCTGCGCCGACACTCGCTCGCTATTTTCGCATCGCGCCCTCTCCGCGGGGCCAGCGGAGCCGCCCGCCTTTCCCAGCGCCGCTCGCAGCCGCGCACCGCGCTCGGAGCGCACCGCACCGCGCTCGGACCGCACCGCACCGCACCGCGCCCGCGGACAAACTTACTTGCGGGCGGCGGCGGCGGCGCCCGCGCCCTCCTTCCCGCGCTGCGAGCGAGCGCAGCCCCGGCGCGGCGGCCGCTGCCGAGCGCGTTCGGACATGCTCAGTCCCCCCGCCGTGCGGAACCTACCACCGGGGGGGGACGGGGGAGCGCGGAGAGAGAGGGGGCAGAGCTGGATGCTACCAAGAGGACGCGCTAAAAATAGGCGCCGCAGAAAGGAACAGCTGGAGCTTAAAGGGGCGGCGGCCCCGCGGTCCCCGCAGCCCCGGGCCAGGGGCGCCTCCTCCCGCCGCACGGGCCCTCCCCGCCGAGCCACCGAGAGCCTCTGCAACCGGGGCCTGCGCTGCCGCGGGGCTCTCCCCGCCGAGCCTGCGGAGGAGAGGCTCTGCGAGCGGGGCGCTGCCGGCATCCCGGGATGCCTGCCGTGCCTGCGATGCCGGCGATGCCGGCGATGCCTGCGATGCCCGCGCCTTTGCGGCGGGAGCGCTGCGGTGCGCTCGGCCGCCGCTGCCGCCGCCGAAGCGCGCAGGGTGCGCAGGGCGCCGGGAGCGCTCTGGGGAGCGTCCGACGGGGCGACTGCCGGGATCTGCCCGCCTTCACCCCAGCGCCGGGCCGGGAGCGCACCTCGGGGCTGGGCCGTTTACCTCGGGACCACGAGCGTACCTCGGGCCGGGCCATTTATCTCAGGGCCAGGCCACCCCGTGAAGCAGCAGCTTCACAAATGAGTTCTACATAGTGAGGCAGGGGATGCCGAGCGGCGTTTTCATGCGGCGTTTCGCTGGAGACATCTCCATCCTGCTTCGAGGCGTTAGCTTATGCGGACGAGGCTTGGGGAGGGACAAACACTCAGGGGCTCTCCCGCGAAGCTCAGAGCAGTCAGATGAGAATGTGGCAGGTCCGAGGCGAAGAGCGTGAAGAACAGCCCTCCTAAATATAGTTTTCTAGGCGGGAAGATCTATGCGGCAAGAGAAATTGCATGATCGCCTCTCACTGACACTACTGTGTTTCAAAAGTGGGAGCTGTTGAAACTGAAAGCCGCCTAAGTATTTGTGAATGGGAATTTCTGATGGGGTTTTTAAGCCGTGGCTTATCACTCTCTACTTTCCTGAAAGACAGACAAGAATAAACATAAGAGCATCACATTGTTTTAGATTTATATACATACTACAGATTCTAAAATTGTATTACCCTAGCAGGAGTTTAGAGGTATTTCAGAGGTATTACTGACTTCTGCTTTTGTGAATACAGAAAATTGCTGTTGCCCAAAAAAAATTAAAAAAAAATAAAAAAAAGAGGCATTTTTAAAGAATACTAAACTACATCTAAGAAAAAATATCAGACAACATCTGCATCATGATAATTTGCTATTTTGATGACATCATGTACAATAGTATGTACACTCAAGACCATGTTCAAAATGTTTCATTTATTTCATTAGACATGAGAGATCACTGGAAGTTCATTTTCATTGCAACTCTAACACAGCCTTCAGCAAAAACTACTGCGGAAAAAAACCCCTCAGTTACACGTAGGTGGGTATAATCAGGAAAGGAAGTGTTACTTGTCAGTACTGTCAAATAAAGTGAGAGCAAGGAAGCAATTTCCCTCGCAGACTGACATACAATGGCATAGATTATTAGACAAGATTGTGTAGGTAACGACTGCAGTACTTGGAGATATGGGAGATGACGTCACAAAGATTATAGTATTAAAAAGGGAGTGAATCAGGTTGTATTGGGTTTTTAAGGCCAAGCTTTCATGTGGGGAAAGGGGGGAGGGAGGGGGCATGCAGGAAGGTGGGAGGTACAGGGGTGGCATCTGTGAGAAGCAGCTGGCAGCTTCCTCCATGTCCAACAGAGCCAATCCCTGATGGCTCCAAAGATGGAGGTGCCACTGGCCAGTGCTGGGCCAATTAGAAATACTGCTAATGACTCTGTGATAACAGATTTAGGAAGAAATTTAACAAAGATTGGCAGTTGTAATTGTGGCCAGAGAAGAGCAGAGTTAGCATATATGAGGAACAGCCCTGCAGACCAAGGCTAATGGAGAAGGAGTGAAAGAAGGTGCTCCAGTCACTGAAGCTGAGATTCCTCTGCAGACCATGGTGAGGCAGCAGTGCCCTGCAGCCCACTGAGGTGCAAAGGGATGCAGGGGTCACCCACACCTGTAGATGAGACCCACACTGGAGCAGGTGGATGCCTGGAGGAGGCTGTGACCCTGTGGAAGAGCCAGTGGAGAGAGAGCCCTGCCCCCAGGCTGGAGCAGCCTGTCCTTGGAGCACTGCACCCATGGAAGGGTGACCCACACTGCAGCAGCTGTGGGAGGACAGTTGCCCATGGATGGATGGACTCACACTGCAGCTGTTCACAGAGAGCTGTTGCTAGTGAGATGGACTCACATTGGAGAAGTTCATGGAGAACAGTCTCCTGTGAAAGGGATGCCCCTCTCCTCCCTGAGCAGCAGGAGAAGCTTCACGTGATAAACAGATCATGACCCTCATTCCCTGCCTCCTTGAGCTGCTGGGGGATGAGGTAGATCTGCCAAGCAGGAAGGGTTGAGGGGAAGATGTTTTCAAGGTTTTATTTTATTTCTTATTATCCTGCTCTGATTTTGTTAGCAATAAATTCAATTAATGTCTCTAACTCGAGCCTGTTCTCCCCATTATAGTATTTGATAAGTGTTCTCTCCCAGTCCTTATCTCAACTCACGAACCCTTTATGTATATATATCTCTTCCTCGTCTAGCTGCGGAGTGGAGTGAGAGAGAGAGGCTTTAGTGGGTGCTTGGCATCCAGCCAGGGTCAGCCCATGTTCACAAATCCTCCTCATTCTCCTCATTCTCTGTTCTACTAAGACATGAGATACACTGTATACTCTAGTCCATGTCTTACAGCCACCATTACACTATGTATTATAAGAAGTTTTAAGCTATGCAGGAGGCATAACTGTACAAAGTGAGGGGAGGATTATGTAATTCTTTCAACTGAAGCTATTGATCTTGAGATAGACAGCAAGGGAAATAGAAAAGGCAGTCTTCTGAATGCAGACTCAGATTTGGGATAACAGTGGGGTAATGTATTTCTGGCTGCATCTGGATCTCTGCAGGAGCAGTAGGCAGCCTCTGGAGAATTTCCTAGAACAGTTTGCACCTTTACCATCATACAGATCTGGGTAAATCAGGAGACTGAAAGATGTCCTGAGTTTCAGGAGAGTAGCTTCCAGCTGGGGATTCATACTGTCTAGGGAGTTCAGAACACTCTTCATCAAGAGAACAAATCATAAAATACTGGCAAAGAAATCATGGGTTTTTTTCTGCAATGTACGTTATCACTCTGCTCATATCTATCCTATATAGGTAATTGTACTATAATTTTCACACTTTTCTTTGTTTATAAAGACTCTCTTTAGAACTTGTAAAATATAGCTGCTTTTCACAATGAGAGATAAACATATATGGATTTTCCTCACCCAAACCACAGTATCGTAAGTTGCATTAATTTTTTTTTTTATATATATACACATATATATACATATAAAGCCTAAGATAGCAAGCTCCAGCATTCAAAATACCATAATCACCCAGATGCAGATTACCAAATTGGACATTAGCAAGTAAGTGGTGGCTGCATCTGCTGTACCAGCCAGTGAACTATATTTAGACGTAGACACCCATCTGAATATTGAAAGCTGTTCTTTCTTCTTCAAGTTTTGCTCAGCAGAAATATCCATACAGTTGCATCTTGTTCCTATGCAGCAACAAAAATTTAAATATCTGCTGTGCTGCTGTGTCCCATGAGACAGAAGGGGAACAATTCCTAATTGCACAGAAAATGTGCAGCTTTGCACTCCTTTCAAAGCACAGTGCTTTATCAATCTCTCTTCATATTGCTTGAAGAGGCTGTAGTGAATCTTTATTTTTCAAATATATCCTTTATAATTCCATATTGCTGATGAACTAAGGCTCTGACATACCCTCAATTGCTTCTGGCTCTTCACCTCAGCCCTCCCAGCTGCTGTCTCCTCTCATTGTTGTTTTCACCCTTCTCCTGGACAGCAATATTCAGATTCTCTACTGTCTCCCTTGTGTAACTCAAAGGTACATTCTAGCATCCTTACCTTTCGAGTTCACTGTCCTAGGGAATTTTTCCACATAGTGGAGTACCCAGACTTCCTGTGCAGTAGATAAAATATTCCTTTTTTTTTCTTTTTTTCCCCCTTTGCTTATAGGACAAAGCTTATTTTCAAGGGATAGAACTTGGATGTTTTAGTATCATAGACTGATCATAGTATCATGGAATGAAATAAATTGGAAGGCACCTAGAAGGTCATCCTGTTCAATCCAGCTGCCATGGGCAGGGACATCTTCAACTACACCAGGTTGCTCAAAGCTCCATCCAGCCTGGTCTCTCCTACACTTCCAGAGATGGGCCATGCACACAGCTTCTCTGGGCATCTTGTTCCAGTGCCTCACCACTCTCAGAAGGAAAAAATTCTTCCTAATATCTAATCTAAACCCCACTCTTTTTCAGTTGAAGCTATTACCTCTGGCCCTAACTGTGCCTGTAAACACTCTCTCCAACACTCTTGCAGGCCCTTTTTTAAGTACTGGCAGGTTGCCCTAAATTCTCCCTAGAGCTTTTTCTTCTCCAGGCTGAACAACCTCAACACTCTCAGCCTGTCTTCAGAGAAGAAGTACTCCAGCCTTCTCATCCCCTTTGTAGCACTTCTCTGGATTCAGTCCAAGGCATCCACGTACTCCTCATGTTGGGGGTCTCCAGAACTGGATGTACTCCCAGTGCTGCTCTCACCAGAGTGGAGTAGAGAGGCAAAATCACCTCCCTTGATCTGCTGGCCATGCTGCTTTTGATGCAGACCAGGATGTGGCATCACATAAGACATGCACAGAGAGAATTCAGCTATCAGTCTGTGGTCCAAATGGAAGATGTTCTTCAGAATAACAGAAAAGATTGTGTGATTAATATGTGTAAAGCTGGGCTTGAGGTAAGAGATTTTGGGTTAGAGTGAAGAAACCTGAAATAAAACCAGATGACTGATGCTTCATAGTGCATTTGGATTGGAAAGAGGATCAGCAAGCTGAAAATACAGAAA